ACAATGAAAATAAACAGTCAAAAAATGTAGTCCAAGATTCACCGTAAATCTGACAGGCTGGCAAAGGCAACCTGTTGAGATGCGTAAAATAAATCGTGTTTAGCATCTTGTTTCATTAAGCATTTCTGCAGTGCTTTTCACTTTGTCCAGCTACCTCATTTCTGCTAAAGAACCAGTAAAGGCTGTGGTTTTGAAAACTGACTGCCTTTTACGTTAAAGACAGCTCTACACTTCAACGAGCACCCTGAAAAAGTGGACACTAAAACACGAAGGTGCTGTCTATTTCTTTAAAGTCAAACTATCTGGCAAACTCGAGAAGCAAACAACAGCTCTATGCCGTTTTTTCCCCACTTTATATGCTCCCCTTATAGGAGCAATGTTTCATCGACATCTTTCTCTTCCCTGCACCAAGTTGACAAACTTGAATATTACCCATCCCAAAAATTGTCGATGGAGAAAATCACTTGCTCTGATAAACATCATGAACATCATAGTCGGTCATTCATTAATATAGAAGATCAAAAGTTGTAGTAATTAAGTTGTGCCCTGAAAAATTCATAAATTCTTTGATATGTCGCAACATTTTCCTCCGCTAACCCATATGACTTGAAATCAACTACGCAACATGTCCCCCCACACAATAATACTCCGTCTGAAAATGCCATATCTTCTCTCGATATAAGGAAAGCCAGATTTTTTTAAAATCAGAAACCTATGCCAAGTATTCTTAAAGAACTGGTATCTAAGGAGCGTGGTAAATTATGAAGCTCAATCTGCAACTTGTCTCTAGAGGTATATGGAAATTTTGTCATATATACCCATAGCTTTTGAACCAATCACAAAATACTTAAAAAGTATTGGATTTTACTTCTTCAACAAGACCGACATGAGCTTAGGGAAGAACAGGACAGCCTGAAAGAGGCATGGAATGTTATTTGCGGCGTCAAGTGCAATAAGATAGCCTTTAAAAGACATATCAAAAGACATACTGCATATCTTGATTAAGATGCACTTATCTGCAGTCCTCCTTGGGCAGGCTGATCACTCTGCAATTGCGCAAACGCACCATTTCTGAGGGACACTCCATCAGTAAGGCGAATGTGTCTACGATCTACAGACATCGATCAAAAGTTGTTCTTTCCATAAACAAGTCCCTACTTATTCTTACGATGAAATGTCGCATATGCGACCAATACGCTTTCTCTGTGGTGATCAGTGAAAGCTAGAGTGTTGCCACAAAACTAATAAGAAAATTTTGAACGGTGAAATGAGCGGTAGAAATCTGACACTAAAATTACATGCTACGAATAGAATAATGCCAATCTGCCAATAACTTTAAATCGATGCAGTTTGCTCACGAGGAGTGGCCAGCTGCCTGATAATCAGTTTTACCCTGACGATGGTACGGAGTTTGTAGCGAAAAGCTTTGGCAAAAAAATGGTAGCTCCTGCAATTGTCGGCACTTTCGAAAAGTTCAAACGGATAAACTGGGGGAGTTGACGATTAATGAGTTAGAAGAACAGTGGATCCGGATAATACACGACAGATGGCATTTATTCTTCCA